GAGTGCTGGGATTAAAGGCGTGCGCCACCACCGCCCGGCTCTATAGATAAATTTTTAATGTGCCTGAAATAATGTATTTGTTGTTTCATCTCCTTCACAGCTGTCATACCCTGCAAGGCTGTACATTCAGTCCAACCCTGCAGTACTGAGTATTTCTGGAGCAGCACAGCGCAGCACAGCACAGCACAGCGCAGCGCAGCGCAGCGCAGCGCAGCGCAGCGCAGCACAGCACAGCACAGCACAGCACAGCACAGCACAGCACAGCACAGCACAGCACAGCACGCACTCTGCATGAAATCTAACTTACACACTCCACCCATTCACCAAACCTCGTCCCAGACACTTCCCTTAAGGTCTGTTGAGAAGGTGCAGATACTCTCCCAGGACTGTTCTCCATTTTGAAGAAAACCCCTGAAGGTGTCTAAATATTAAACTCTGCATAGGAAAGTAGGCCCACTTAATAATAATAAGACAAACTAGTTTAACTACTGTTTGTCTGGTTAAAGGTAAATATTATAAGGATTTAAAATCTGTTTTTATCATTTCTATACCTTTTGGGAGAAAGGTAGACTACTCATTTTCCCCTAACCATTTTCAAGACTGGCAAGCAGGGCAAGCAGCAATACATGCACAAGCCATGCGGAGAGGTAAAGATGACTCCTTACATTACAGACGCCCCACGCGACAGTACACTCTTCGGAGGTAGCAGATGCCTGGTTGGCCTGACATTCAATGCCTGTGGGAACAAGAGCAAAAGCATCACTGGACCTGGGGGCAGCTTCCAACCTGGCCAGCCAGGTCCTGAAGTAGGAAACTGGCCATTAATCTTTTTTCCCCCCATTAATCGTTTTCAATGGATGTGAAAAAGGTGAAGAACGCTGTGTGGTGGCTCACACCTATAATCCTAGGACTTGGGGGGAGGAGGCAGAGGCAGGCGGATCTCTGTGAGTTAGAGCCTACTCTGTGGGCTACAGAGTGAGTTCCAGGAAAGGCACAAAACTACACAGAGAAACCCTTTCTTTTCTTTTAAATTGAATTTACATATCAGTCACGGATCCCTTGTCGTCGTCACCCCCCCAAACCCTTTCTTAAAGAAACAAAAAAAAATTTTTTTTTTAAACCGGGGGGGGGGGGGGGGGGAGGGCTAGGCCTGGGGGCTCATGCCTGAAATCCAGGACTCATAAGGCAGAGACAGAGGCAGTCAGATATCTGTTGAGTTCCAGACCAGCCTGGATTCTACAGTGAGATTGTGTCTCAAGCAAAAACAAACAACACCCCCAAAAGACAGACATAGTGTGCATGCCTTTTTCCCTGAGCACTTCAGAGGGAGAAGCAGAAGGAACCACTGAGCTACCCACCAGCATGACTTCTTGTTCTTTTTGAGAAAGGATCGATCTCTCTCTCTCTCTCTCTCTCTAACACACACGTATATGTATATATGTATATGTATGTATATATATCTATGTGTATATCTATGTATATATATATATGTGTGTGTGTGTGTGTGTAAAATCAAGCCGTCTTGAATTTGCTATGTAGTCAAGGATGACTTTGAACTCCTGATCCTCCTAGTTCTACCATTGTGGTAGTCTGAATGTAATTGGCCCCCATAATCTCATAGGGTGTGGCACTATTAGGAGGTTGCTTTGTTGGAGGGGGTATGGTCTCATTGGAGGAAGTGTTTCATTGTGGGGGTGAGCTTTGAGATTTCCTATGCTCAGGACACTGTCCAGTGTCTTAGTCAACTTTCTGTTGTCTGCAAGATGTAGAACTCTCAGCTACTCCAGCACCATGTCTGCCTGCACGCTGCCATGCTCCCTGTCATGAGGATGATGGACTGAACCTCTGAAACTGTAAGTGAGCCCCCTCAGTGAAATGTTTTCCCTATAAGAGTTGCCATGGTTAGAGCTGGGTATTGGTGGCACTAAGGAAGCAGAGGTGGATCTCTGTGAGTTCGAGGCCAGCCTGGTCCACAGAATGAATTGCAGGACAACCAGAGCTGTTATACAAAGAAAGAAAGAAAAAAAAAAAAAAAAAAAAAGAGTTGCTGTGGTCATGGTGTCTCTTCACAGCAATAGAAACCCTAACTAAGACAACCCACATAAGTACTGGGATTCCAAGTATATATTATTACACTCAGATTCGTCACAGGTTTTTGTTACAGAAGTTCAATATTTTATCTCATGTGATATTTTGAACACAATGAGGGAAGCAGAGGCAGGAAGATCATGAATTTGAAATCAATGTGGGCAACATACTGAGTTCTAGGTCAACCTGGCTATTGGCCATCTCAAAAGAAAACAAAAACCCAAAACTTAAAACAAACAAACAAACAAAAAAACAACAACTAAACAGGGCACTTAATCGCAGCACTGGAATGGCAGAGGCAGGAGGATATGAGTTCAAAGCCAGCCTGATCTACAGAGCAAGTTCCAGGACAGCCAGAGCTAGAGAGAAACCCTACTTCGAGAAAAAACCAAGAACAAGGGACTGGAGAGATGGCTCAGCGGTTAAGAGCACTGACTGTTCTTCCAGAGGTCCTGAGTTCAATTCCCAGCACCCACATGGTGGCTCACAACCATCTCTATTGGGATCTGATGCCCTCTTCTGGCATAAAGGCATACATGGAGATAGAGCGCTCATACACATAAAATAAATAAATCTTAAAAACAAACAAGACAAAAACCGTATACACACTCTATTATGAGACAAAGCATCTAGTGGGGAAAGAACCTGCTGGGGCTCTGCTGTCCACCCAAGAAGCAGGTTCTCTCCAATCTAGAGACACACACTGACTTGAAACAAGGAACGTAAGAAGGATGAGAGTCCCAAGGAAGTAAGATTTTCTCTGGGTGCAACTTGTGAAAATACAAGGGACAGAGACTGGCATGCACACAACTGGAGACTCCACTCTGTAAACAGCCATGTTTCAGTGATGGCAGCTGCTGATCAGCTCTCCTGTAGCACAGGAAAGGTCAAAGTTCAAACAAACTCTGAGTCATCAACAACTATCAGCAAACAGGACACGGTGCTTTCCAACACACATCTTTGGATCCATGCTTTCCAAGTTGGCGTGATCACAGACTGCTAACTCCATTTGTTTTTGTTATTCATCTAGCAAATATTCAGTGCAATTTTATTATGTAGTAGACAACATGTTAAGAGTAGTAAATAACAGTTATAACAGAAGACCACCTAATTAAATGACAGACATAAAGAAATACTATAGTATATATCTTGGGAACATCTGAGAGACCTGCCCAATAGCCTATGTGTGCATGTGTAAATGTGGAGAGTGTGTAGGGGATATACACACATATATTATACACACACAGATGCTGTTTGAACCCGCAAATATAGAACTTGAGATTATATAGGGCTGACTGTAAATTTACTTTATAATTTATTCACTTATTTATCTAATGTGTATGGGTGTTTTGCCTGCACCAGAGAATGCCTGGTGCCCTTGGAAGCCAGAAGAGGGCATTGAATCCCCTGCAACTGAAGTGATAGACCATGGTAAGCCTCCATGTGATTGCTGGGAATTAAACCTGGGTCCTCTGGAAAAGCAGCCAGTGCTCTTAACTGCTGCCATCCCTCCAGCCTGTGACTGCAATCTTGCCCAACAAAACCTAGCTCAGATAAGAGTACTGTATCTCAAACTTTAGCCCTGGCTGGTCTGTAACTTGCCACAATACTCCTCCTGCCTGCCATTGCCTCCCCAAATGCTGGGATTACAGGCATGCACTGCCATTTCTACCTTCAAAAGTAATTTTCTTTCATTATTTTTCCCTTTGTGTCTGGATAAGATGGGAAGAAAGGGTATCTCTTCCTACAACTCATTCTCAATGGGATCTTGTTGGCTTTACAATGAGTAATTTATTCTGAGAGCTGGGTATGCCTCCAGGACATCATTTTAAAAAACAATTTAACTTTTTATTTGAAATGGTTGATATCAACTTTGGGCAAACTAGTTTAAACTATTTAACTTGATAATAAAAATAAATGATTACTGGAGCTGGGTGGTGGTGCCTCAGGCTTTTAATCCCAGACCTCGGGAGGCAGAGGAAGATGGATCTCTGAGTTTGAGGCCAGCTGATCTACAAACTGAGTTCCAGGATAGTCAGAGCTACACATAGACACTGTGTCTCAAAAAATGAAACAATCTGTTTCAAACACACCAATGGATGAGATGCAGGAGTGCTCAAGGGTTCTGACTGTGCTTTGTATCTACTCGTGAAAAAGAAAAGTCCGTCACACTGCAGGGGGGACCAGGGGGACCACCGTTTCTGGAACCTCCTCAACTTCTTCCCATCGCCCTTGAGTTACTTACAAAGATCCATAATGTGGTTCCTGCAGATGGCACAGTTATCAACCACGATATCCCAGGCCCAGAGGGCTACTGCGTTCCACTGCAAAGAGAAAAGGGGGAAACAATGCATTTTCCTTGTAATGTCACCGACTCATTAGGAGTTCAGGTTTCAGCTTCAGCTACCACCTCCCTGGCCATAGGGACTATCAAGGAAAGAATGTTTTTGGATTATACTATTTGTACTACATCCAAGGACAACAGCAAACCACATACATGCTTCCTCATTCATCCAAAGATGGAGTTTATGAACATGGGACTCACTCTTCAATTTTCTGCCTATAGTGTACAATAATTTAGGGAGTCAAACCAATGTAAGCAAATTAGAAGTATCTTTTTTTGTTTGTTTTTGGAGACAGGGTTTCTTTGTGTAGTTTTGGCACCCGTCCTGGATCTTGCTCTGTAGACCAGGTTGGCCTTGAACTCACAGAGATCCATCTGGCTCTGCCTCCCCAGTGCTGGGATTACAGGCATGTGCCACCACCGCCCAGCTTAGAAATATCTTTTAAACCCCTGTTTTAAATTAAATTTAAGTTAAGTAACACTTGAGTTCTCAGGCAGCTTTTCCTGGCAGTTGTGGAAAGACTCGAAATCTGCAGAAGTATCTGCTCTTCAAGCAGTTTTGGACACACAGCAGGGAGGTGAACAGAATGAACTAAGATGATGACTGGATCATAAAGTGGATAATCATGGGATAAGCTGGACAGCTGGTTACCCAGCGTCAGTACACAGAACAAGGTCATCACTTAAATCTAACCAGATTAATTCATAGCAAAGCAGAATCCACTACAATTTTCTTTTCCTCTTATCAAACAAACTAATGTTCTCAACTTTTACATGTTCAAACTATTAATTCTAAGTAAGTCGATCGAAAAGTAATTCAACTGGCTTCTGCAATTATACAAACATTGCCAGACACCCCTTTGATGTGACTTCTCAACTGTTCATCTCCTTCAGATTCAACTCACAGTTCAGTAACTCCTACACTACTTTTCATACCACAGCATCAACTCCGAGGGAAAAACAATTACTTTTCATTTTTCAGTATGGCTGCTAGCTGTAACTGAGCAGCAATGGCCACAATCAGACGCCAAAAAAGGGGGTGGGGTGGGGTGGAGTGTGCTCAGCGACACGTTCCAAAAATATTTAAGAAAACATCCCCTACTTCTAGATCTTCATTTTGAACAGATTTATGTAATCTTTCTCCCAAATTGTTGGCAAACCATGAAGGGGAATAGCGTGCCAAAAGACGTTCCACATTATTGCTTTCTTGTTCCCAAGTCATTAGCAATTGGTACTCCACTTTCCTAAATGCCGCAAGTTCTGGGCCTGCTTTTAAAAGAAAGCCCACCACGCTTTTTAATGACTGATTTGTGTTAGAAGGGCATCCGGACATTAGAGAACTATGGGACTGGCAGAAGCTATGTGACAACCAGCAGACATCTCGGAAGGCCCAAGTTTTACACCCGAGACTGTGTTTTAGAGGCGAATGAAGGCCTCATACAACCGAGTACCCAAACCAGGTCTCCCAGGTCAATAGACTCAAGGATGCAGAAAGGGGCGGGGCAAGAACCCCGAAAGGGCTCCCCAGAGCCTCCTCTGGGGTAAGATCCCACGTCCCCGGCTTTCTCCGCACTGCCCCATCCTCCACCCGCCGCAGTCTCTCCGAAGTCTCCATTCCGCCCACCCCACCCAGTCCTTCCCCCACCTCTCAGTCACTTCAGTGACAGCTCAAGCGCTTGGCTCCCGCAACCAAGCCGACCCCGCGTATTTCAGTAAGCGGCTCTGCGATTGGCCCCTCAGCTTCCCCAGCGAAACTAATATGGCCTCACGGAGTGGGCCACCGTCATGCCGATCAATCCTAAGGCCCGCCCCCCAGCTTCCTTTAGTGGTACCCGGTCCCAGGAACGCCCCGAAAAGCAGCTCTTTCCCCCGCGCCACGCTCGTCCTCGGGCTTGCCAGCCATATCCACGCCTCTCTAGCTTCCCTGAGGAAGGTGCTGGCGAGACCCAACCTTTTTCACTTCAAAGCGCTTCTTGCCCGCGCCGCTGTTGGTGCCGCTGGGGGTATCCACATCCATCGCTGCCGCCATTTTGGAAACACACTGCCTACCGCCGGACCACTGCGCCTGCGCACCGGCTCCTCGTTCGCCTCCTGCTCCCCACACCAGGCGCCTCCTCCCGCACCCCTCTCCTTATTGGTGCGCGAGAAGAAGGGGCGGAGCCTGTGGTCACGCCCCTTAAAGGCGCAGGCGGAGGTTCCTCTTGGCCCTCCGCTGGGGAGTAGGCTGGAGTGATTGAGGCGGGGCCGGGCGGGGTCGGGCGGGGCCGAGCTACGTGATCGAGCCGGTGGGAATGTCCGTGAGATCTCACGCTGCTCGCCTTCGGGGAAGCCCGTTTGGCCTGGCTTCTTCTTCTGGGGCGGCGGCTGCTCCCCTTCTTCTTTGCCCGGACTTATGCCTGGTCCTTTCCCGTAGCGATGCTCGCCCCCGATGCTGTGCTGGAAGGGGCTTGGGCGGGTCTGTGGAAACCAGAGACTCCACGCGGGCCTTCCTCTGGCCTTGGCCGGCTTTGGAGCTAAGCCGTGTGGCAGACAGTGTCCTGGAGGCCTGCGGCCAGGCTTCCCCCGCGCCCGGGCACCGGCTGAGTTCCCAATCAGTTTGGGAAGTGATTTTGATGGGGAGAGGAGAGGCCTGGATGTTCTGCCCCAGACCTAACAGAGCAGGCATTCTGCAGCTCTACCTTCACCTTCTCACCAGAAAGAGACGAGGAATGCTTAGGAGCCCCGGGAGATGCCATATTACCTCCCCTAACTAGCCAGTCCTAAATGGTCCTCCCTTTCCCCCCATTTCCTGTCCGAATTTTGCGACTTGCACTACTGTTTTAGTTCATCTGCAGTGGCTGAACTTTGGGTGAGGCATTCTGATAGTCTTACGGGTCATTCCCGTCAAGCTGAACAAACATGTACTTTATGCCATGCTCCCATGTTTAGTCCCGGCCTCCACGGTTTTATCTCCTAAACCAGCAGAGGCATAGCTGGAATACATCCCTTGAATTACCTATATTTTTATTTGTCCTATAATCCTAGGACTTGGGAGGCCGAAGCAGGACTGTTGTGTTCCAGTCCCCACAGTAGGACAACAAAAGAGCTTTATCTGAAATGTCACATACCCTCTTAAAAGAGATAGTTATTGGAGGGTAATGGAGTGTGTGCTGTTGATGTCATTGATGAGCAGGGCAATAAATCCAGAAAGACCACCACAGCTTTAACTTGCACAAAGAAAATGTGTGAGAGCCTTACTGAGTGTGTGAGTGTTCGCCCGAGTTCTACCGACCATGTTAAAACTGTCATTGATGTGTTATGTGTTAACAGACCTTCTACGGGGATCTTAGAAATTCATAATTAAGATACTGAGGACATATTTATCCATTATTCAACAGATATCTTGAGCATGTACCAGGTTTTAATTTTTGTTTTATTCTTTCTTTCTTTTTTTTTGTTTATTTGTTTTTTCTTTTCTTTTCTTTCTTTCTTTTTCTTTTTCTTTTCTTTTTTTTTTTTTTGAGACAAGGTTTCTCTGTGCAGTTTTGGTGGCTGTCCTGGATCTTGCTCTGTAGACCAGGCTGGCTTCGAACTCACAGAGATCTGCCTGGTTCTATCTCCAGAGTGCTGGGATTAAAGGCGTGTGCCACCACCACCCAGTAACAAATCTTAAAATAAATAAATAAGAAAGGAAGGAAGGAGGAAGCCAGGCAGTGCTGGTCTACAGAGCAAGATCCAAAACAGGAGGCAAAACTACACAGAGAAACCTTGTCTTGAAAAACAAAACAAAACAAAACAAAATTTATTATATATACAGTGTTCTGCCTGCATATATACCTGCAGGCCAGAAGAGGGCGCCAGATCTCATTACAGATGGTTGTGAGCCACCATGTGGCTGCTGGGAATTGAAATCAGGACCTCCGGAAGAGCAGCCAATGTTCTTAACCTCTGAGCCATCTCTCCAGCCCCAATTTTGGCTTATTCTTATTATTTATTCTTATTTTTGAGAAAGGGCCTCACTCTTTAGCCCAGGCTGGCCCTGAAACCGGGACAGTTTTGTTGCTGCTACCTCCCAAGTGCTGGAGAGAGAAGGGGTAAAGCCTCGGTGTTCAGCTCTACCAGGTCCTTTTTAAACAGGAAAGCCACAGTGACAAGGTCAACTCTTAGTAGGGAAATGAAGCGCAAATCAACATCAGGAGGCCTCAGGTAGCAATGCATGCTACAGAAGACAAGATGGTGAGACTGAGGGGAGGGGCAGCAATGTGTCTTGATTAATAAGCACACGTTTTTAAGAAAGGTACTGGGCCGTTTTGTTATCGCGTGGACATTAGATGTGGTAGTTACACAAACCTAGATGGGGTACCCTGTTACACACTGAAGCTGTGTTGTTAGCTGAGTGCTCCCAGGCTCCAAACCTATCTGTTACTTTACTGTTTCTGTGCTGAATACCGTAAGCAAGTTTAACACAATGGTATTTGTAGACCTAAACGAAGCCAAGGTTCATCAGAAATACACTATAAAAGTCCTGGCTGGGCTAGAGAGATGGCTCAGTGGTAAAGAGCACTGGCCGCTCTTCCAGACAACCCGGGATCAGTTCCCAGTACCCACATGGCAGCTCACACCTGTCTGTAACTCCAGTTCCAAGGCTTCTGACACCCTCACACAGACATACATGCTAGCAAAACACCAATGTACATAAAATAAAACAAAGTCTATTAAAAGTAATTTTAAAAAGTGCTGTTTATATAGCTCAGTTGTAGGGCACACAAAGTTTCCTAGCACTGTAATAAACAAACAGGTGTAAAAAGTGATGGGTGGGGCCGGGCGGTGGTGGCGCACGCCTTTAATCCCAGCACTAGGGAGGCAGAGGCAGGAGGATCTTTCTGAGTTCGAGGCCAGCCTGGGCTACACAGAGAAACCCTGTCTGGAAAAACCAAAAAAACAAAAACAAAAACAACAACAAAAACCCCTGATGTGTGGGCTGGAGAGATGGCTCAGTTGTTAAGAGCACTTGCTGTTCTGCAGAAGACCCAGGTTTGGTTCCCAGTGCCCATGTGATGGCTTACAATCATCTGTAATTTCAGTTCCAGGGGATTCAGTGCCCTCTTCTGGCCTCTGTGGGTACATAGTACACACCACGTACATGAACACGGTACAGACACATACCTACAGTCAAACATTCAT